CTGGCGACATCCCGGCTGTCCTGGGCACACTCATGGAACACATCCATGATCCAGCGGGAGCCGTTGGGACAATCGGAAAGATTCCCCGAGGGGAGACCCCTCCAGCGCCGCGCAGCCATGGAACTGCCGGGATAACGCCGGGGAAAAAGGAATAACACAGGGAAAATTTAATAACAATGGGGAGCGAAAGATCTGCGGGAGGGACAGGTCTGGGGATGCTCCGGGTACTGGCTCATGTTGGAAAAATGCATCGTTAGTGGATAATTCACCTTTATTGGGTTTGCTGCCAGCATGGCAGCGTCTGGCCTCAAAGGAGAAACAGAAGAAATGAAAGAAGAAGAAATAAAGAAGAAAGGGGGAAAAAGGAGGAAAAGAAGGGAGGAAGGGGAAAAAATAGTAATAAAAAAGAAACAAAAAAGAAAAGAAAAGAAAAAAATGAAAGGAAAAAAAGGAAAAAAAAAAAAAAGAAGCAGAAGAAAAGGAGAAGTGAAAAAAAAGTGGGGGGAGAATAAATAAAAGAAGCTGAAATCCCAACCTGTCCCCGCAGCACCGGCACTCGCCTCTTCACGGACGCGGTTCGAAACTGTATTTTTCCTTGAAAACCCGCTCTTTTTGAAACTTGGGCTGTTTTTCTTTGCGAATCCACAACTCCTCAGACACCCGCCGTGTTTCCTTCGCCGCTGTCCCAGACCCTCCCAGTTTTCTTCGCTGCTCTCTCAAACCCTGCCGGGTTTCCTTTAACGCTGTCCCAGACCCGCCGCTCCTCTGCCGCTTTCTCAGGAACCTGCCGCACACCGGCAATTTTTCACAGTGTGAAATCAGCGAGCCTTTTCACAAAGTTGCTGCATTTCCCCGCGGTTTCCCAGCCCTGCCTTTCCCAAAGTTGCTGTTTTTTCCCGATCTCGGTTANAGGAGGGAGCATCCCCACAGGGCAAGGACGGAGCATCCCTGGGAGAGAATGGACCACACCCGGGGGGAAAAGGGAGCAAGTCGAGGATGAAAGAGGGGAGCATTTCTAGGGGGCAGAGGGAGCATCCCCGGCAGTTTTGGCTCTGCTCTGGACACAGCAGCTGCCAGCCCCTCCCTCCTCCCTGGAGCTGGGCTGTTTGAGAGCCAGCCCCGGTACCTGCAGGGGCAGCTGATCGGCCAGGAAGGAGCCGATGAGGTTGAGGAGGTCTCCGCCCAGCCATCCCAGCAGGAAATAGATGGAGAGAGCCTGGTCCATGATGCCCGTTCGGCAGGCCTGGTAGAACTGCCTGCAGGGCATTGGGCAGGGGAACAAACATCACCTCAGAGCGCTACCTGGGAGCCATGCCCAGGATTCTGCGCATCCCAAAGCAGTCATGGGAGGAAAGGCAAGGTCACACGCTGCCCTGGCCCCAGGGACAACAACTGAGCCCCACTGAGAGCCCTGTGGGAGGAGCAGGAGGATGATCACAGCAGCAGGATCCTCCCCTCCGGTTGCGAAAGAGCCGTGACTCCTCATGTGCCTGTCTGCCACCCCTGTGTCAGCACTTCCAAGCACCCCAGGGCTCCTGGGGACGGGACATTCCTCCCGCAGCGTGACCTGTCCTGCCGGCCCTGCACGTGCCTGACGTGGGACATTCGG